CCATTTTAAAGTTAAGGCATTCTTAAAGTTTCTAGGCTGGTTTATTTCAGGAGACCCTTTCACAATCTCATGTCTCCCAGCAACTGTCATTTGCTTATCAGCATTCAAAAAATTAAAAAACAACACAATAAAATACAGGATCCAGCCTCCTCGTATATTTCCCATCTCTATGTGACTTTTTTTTTTTTATTGTTATTACTCTTTTTTTTTGTTGTTTCTTGAGGCAGAATTTCTCTGTGTAACCACTGGGACTGTCCTGGAACTCAACTTTGTAGACCAGGCTAGCCTAGAACTCATGGAGATTTGCCTGTCTCTGCCTCCTGAGAGCTGGGATTAAAGGTGTGCACCACCACTGCCTGGTACTTTACTCTTTCTTTAAACACTCTATTGTTTTTTATTTACTTATTTATTCATTCATTCATTCATTCATTCATTCATTTATTCATTTATTTATTTTATGCCAGAAGAGGGCATCAGACCCCACTATAGATGGTTGTGAGCCACCATGTGGTTGCTGGGAATTGAACTCAGGACCTTTAGAAAGAGCAGCCAGGGCTCTCAACTCTGAGCCATCTCTCCAAATCATACTCTATTATTTTTAAACTATTTATGTATTTATTGTATGACTGTCTATATCCTTTTTCTTTTCTTTTTTTCTTAAGCCTACGCACATTGTTGAACACACTGTAACCTGTTTAGAGGTTTTTTTTCCTGTCTGAACATGCTGTACTACATATCTGTAACCTTTTTTGTCTGCATAAGCCAAACCTTAAACAGCCATGTAGCTTAGACTTTCTCAATCCATAGAGATTTCAAAATGGTCGAATATTAGCAGTTTCCTGTAGCTCATATTAATAGATCTGTAACATAGTAGAGTGACTTGATAAAAAACAGACTCTTAAAAAAATCACCTTAAAAATTTTCAAAGTGAAATAAATATAGAATCTCAGTTTAGACTGAAAATTTACAACAAGTATTTAATTATCTTCATTATTTGTATAAAAATGGTTTTGTTTTTTGTTTGTTTTTAACTTAAACTAATATATAAAGTGCTTAAATTTGTCTCTACACATACTATCTCTACACATACTATTTCTTGTGGGAAATCTGGCCAAAGTTCTTCCTTTTTTATTGCTTTTACGAGTTTAACAACTACTTTATTGTTCTTTGTACTAGAAAACAGAGATAGGGATCTACAAATGAAATCCTTTATTTATTTATTTTTACCAGAAACCTAGAGGAATCAGTAGAACGTGTTCTGAAGTGTAAAGTGGTCTGTCTCGATGGCTCAGCACACACAGGTGCTTGTCAGCAAGCCTGAGCCAGTCCCCGGAACGCTGATGGAGGAAGAGGAAACCAATTCCTGCCAACTGTCCTCTGACCTCCACATGTAGCAGACAAACACCCACTCACATACACATACAAAATAATTAAAGTGGCCGGGCGGTGGTGGCGCACGCCTTTAATCCCAGCACTCGGGAGGCAGAGCCAGGCGGATCTCTGTGAGTTCGAGGCCAGCCTGGACTACCAAGTGAGTTCCAGGAAAAGGCGCAAAGCTACACAGAGAAATCCTGTCTCGAAAAACCAAAAAAAAAAAAAAAAAAATTAAAGTGAAACAATGTAGTGTAATGTAAAAAAATGCTTATGTGGAATATTTTAAGTATCATAAGTTATGCGAAGTGTTATCAATATTTTAGTTTATTGGTCTGGTCATACACACTTTATCTTATCAAGGTCCTAAAAAAATCTCTTAAGTTTTTTTTTTTCCAAATATAAAAAGAGAATTTATATGTGGGCACACAGACTATGAGACGGATCTACTTACTACATAAAAGTTCAGTATACAGTATAAACAATGGTGAGAACTCCTAAAAAGTGATTGTCCTTATGGCACTCCAGTTCACGGACTGAGATGATCTCCACAGAATACATCATCTTTGTATTGACTTCTTTCCTGTGCTGTGTATTGATGCCAGGGTGGGACTTGAACCGTGGCCGGCGAGTGCTCCATCACAAGCTCCCTTCCTGGCCCAGACAGCTGTCTGAACACAGAGCATGAATGTATTTCTTTAAGAAGTGCTCGCCGCACTTCTCTGCAGCGTCGGAGCCCCGTCACTGTTCCACGAGGCACTTCTGAAATCCATGGCAGAGGTTGCTGCTTATTAGAGGAAAGACAGACTTAACTTTATGCTAACGCAATTACTTAAAGTGCCAGCATCAGAGGAAACTATTTAAAATGGTTATTCAGTGGGAAGACAGGTAATTGATGCATTTCACTTCTCATCTGCAAGTGTGTTAGCTGCAGAGTGTAAGCCTGGGGACTGGCCTAACTCAAAGCTCAGCACTCCAAGACATAAAGAGTGTGTCAATACATGCGGCTTCCCAGCAGAGAACAGAGAGCATGTCCTGTAACTGCCCTGATTTCTGTTTTAAGGTTTCTAGCAGCATAGGAAAGATGGGGGAAGTTGGATATGAGGAATTAGGTGTTGCTTTTAAAGTTTGAAATGATACTTTACTCACTTTTGTACATTCTTGAGTCTAGAATAAAGACACTTGCTAGATGATATACTATTGGATTCTAGAGCATTTAGTGGAAAATTAAGTTCCCCAACACATGTGTGGTTGTAAGACCAGGCCAGATGTAGGAAGGAAACAAGTGTGACACTGAGGATAAAAATATAGTGGAGACTTTTTAGGAGTTCAGAGTTTTTTTAATCAAAGAAATTCTTAATTAATTAACTGTGTGTGTTCGTGACAGGGCACTTTTTGTCTAGGCTGGCCTTGAACTCATGGGCTTAAGCTGTTTTGCCGTATCCTCAGTAGCTGGGATTAAGGTGCATGCCTGATTCAGTTTTGTTTTGTTTTCATTTAAAGATCCTTTAGAAGGAAACAGGTGAGTGGGAAGCCTTTCCTGGCATCGCCTCCTAACACTGGACTCTAGTGTTCGGTGTATGTGTGGCCCTGCGCAACCTCGTTCTCTCTCCCTTTTGTTGTCGTGCTGGGGATTGATCCCAGGTCCCCACATATGCTAGGCAAGCACACTGTCGCTGAGCTACATCCTCAAGCTGTAGTGCTCGGGACTGGATTCAGAGCCTGGAGCATGCTGGACAAACATTGTCACCTCGCTAGCCTGGCCTTTTTTAAAATAGCAGTACAACACCAGGCCTATAATTATCACTCAGAAAGTAGAAGCCAAAAATCAGCAGTTCAGAGTCATCCTTGGCTACATAATGAATTCTAGGCTAGCCTGTGCTACAAGAGATCTTGTCTCAAAAAATAAATAGGTCTAGGCATGGGACTGAAGAAATGGTTTAGCAGTTAAGAGCACGTAATGAATGCTCTTCCAGAGAACCTGAGTTCAATTACCAACACCTACACTAGGTGAATCACAGTTGCCTGTAACTCCAGCTCCAGGGATCAGCTGCCTTTGGCTTCTGCAGGCACCTGCACTCACATGCACATACCCATACACAGTCACACACATGATTAAAATGAAATAAAGACAGGACTGAAATGATAGGGAAAGTGCCTGCTGTGCAAGCATGAGAACCTACTCTGGACCCCCAGAATCTGTGTGAAAACCCAAGGCAGGTCCCCAGAGCTAACTGGCCAGTCAGCCTAGCCGATCGGTACGCTCCAAGTCCAATGACACCTTGAGTCAAAAAATAAGGGGTCTGGCTAGGCATGGTGGCACACGCCTTTAATCCCAGCACTTGGGAGGCAGAGGCAGGTGGATCTCCATGAGGTTGAGGCCAGCCTGGGCTACATAGTGAAACCCAGTCTCAGTAATAATACCAATAATAAAGGTGGAGAGCAATTGCAGAAGATAACTGTCTTAGTCAGGGTTCTATTGCTGTGAAGAGACACCAGGACCACAGCAACTCCTATAAAGGAAACATTTCATTAGAGTGGCTTACAGTTCAGAGGTTTAGTCCATTATTATCATATCAGGACATGGCAGCATGCAGGCAGACACAGTGCTGGAGAAGGAGCTGAGAGTTCTTACATCTAGACCTGCAGGCAACAGAAAGTGGTCTTAGACATTGGGTGTGGCTTGAGCATATATGCCACAGTGACACACTTCATCCAACAAGGCCACACCTACTCCAACAAAGCTGTACCTCCTAATACTGCCACTCCCTATGAGCTTATGGGGGCCAATTACATTCAAACCACAATACCCCATGCCAAACTCTAGTACATGCACCTGCATGCACACACACACAAACATACTCAAAGAAAAAACAATAAAAACATCACAACATAACCTTGTCTGTTATGGTGGTGCTACTTACAACCCAACCACCTGAGAGGCAGGAGCAAGAGGATCAGAAGTTATGTTCATCTTCAGCTGCATATGGTGTTCAAGGCCTGCCTGGGCTATGTGAGACCTAGTCTCAAACATACACAGACACCAAAACCAGTGTCCCATGAGGTGCTGAGCTGGTAGTTTTAAAACTAGAAATGAATTGTGTAAGGTCCCATGTAATGTGACATTTTGACCCTTATCTATTTGTGTGTACGTTCCATGGTGCTCATGTGGGGGTCAGAGGAAAACTTGGGGAAACTTGTTCTCTCCTTGTACCATGTGGGTCACATGGATTGAACTCAAGTTGTCAGCCTGGGTGGACACATCTTTCCCTGCTGAGCCATCTCACCCCGTCTCTGACTTTCAATTTATAATGAACAGAATAGTCCTTTTAACCTTTTCACCCTGTCGTACCTTCGTAAAGCTATAGCCTCCCCTCGTCCTTAAGTTAGACTGTAGAGACCAAGTGATGCTGGTCACTGCCTGAGCTAGACTAGAACACGGTGGCCTGGAGGCTGGAGAGTGCTTGACAGAGACCTAAGGATCGTATCCTGGCCTACAGAGTCCTCCGAACTTTGAATGTGGTGAAAGTGTTTCTGTTAGTAATTTATCAAAGCAACCTTTCCAGATCTTGCTGGCTCCCAAGCTTGTCCTTTCACTAAAATAATCATTTCTTCTTTTGTCTTTACAGGTAGCTGAGACCTATTTTCAGGAAGAGGACTGTATCCTTTTCTTGACTATAGACAGAAATTCATAGAACACTTGAAGAACCCATCTTTTCTTTTTTTTTTTTTTAAAGTTGAGGTCTATGCAACAAGATGTGTAGACCATATGGTTTGGGTGGGTTTTGGCAGTGGTGTGTACCCTTATAACCGCCTCAAAGAGCAAGGTGTAGGAAATAGGTCACTCCAGAAATCCCCTAGAGCCACCTAAATTTGGCTTTCATCAAGGAGACCTAACTTTACCAATATTAAACATTTATGTTGAAGAGAATGGGGAAAACACATGCTGCTGAGAAGGAAGACTTTAAGTCTGTTAGAGTCTCTCACTCTTTTGGTTTTTCGAGACAGGGTTTCTCTGTGTAGCTTTGCGCCTTTCCTGGAACTCACTTGGTAGTCCAGGCTGGCCTCGAACTCACAGAGATCCGCCTGGCTCTGCCTCCCGAGTGCTGGGATTAAAGGCGTGCGCCACCACCGCCCGGCAAGTCTCTCACTCTTAAGCACTGGAGTCAAACATGCACATAATGGAGCATGTCGGACAACGCATAGTAACTCCTCTGACTGCTCGATGCAGCGGTGGTCCTGAGCTGCTCGACAGCAGGGCTATGTCCAGAGAAGGGCATCATTTGGGGGTTTTGTTGTTTGGAGAACATCATGTTAAGACACTACAGCATCATTGGGCAATTTAAATTTGTCTTTTAATGCTTCCTCACTGACAGAAATGTTTTATGACGCACCGCCGTATGTAGCTGCCAAGGAAAAATTGGGTTTCACTAGTAGCCAACAAAATACTGTTTTCAAGTAGATCCCGTGTCAGCTTTTGAATAGGAAGCATTTAGTCCTGGGCAGAGGGAGCAGAGGAGTTGTTCGGCTTCTCCTGGTCCCTAGAATCGTTAAGGTGACAGAGACGGGGAGCTGAACCTCTTGGTGTTCATGGGAAGGACACAAAGTTAAACCTTCCGATCATCTCTTCCTTTTTTCTGGGTCAACATTTAGAACATTGCCCAGAGGAAGCTGGGCATTTGGACAGTGTTTCTCAAACCTCCTAAGATGCAAGTTAGTGTGGTACAGATGGGAAGCCAAAAGGTCATAAGAAGATCAACCAAAGGGGGCGGGAATTACGTGATACTTAGGAAAGTCACTGGGGTGAGTTATTTTTATAACAGACCCATGCCATGTTTTCATTATTTAGCATTTGCTGCTTTTGACTCACGAGAGAAAAAGGTCCAATGAAAAGTAAGTAAAGGATCATGAGGGCAGAAAGAAACACTTACCTGAAGGGTCTCCTAGTCAGGGAGTCGTCAGGGAAACACACCGACTCCAGGATGCCCTGTGGGTCCTCTTTCCAGTATATTGCTTTAATGACTGCTAGCAGTGCACTGCCAGGTAGGCAGTCCTGAGTGAAGCCTTTCCTTTCTGTTGGCTTGAGGAACCGAAGCACCTCTCCATCATGTGTTACGATAAAATGTGCTTACCCAAAGCCAGGCAAGCTCACGTCAGATGTGCTTAAATTTAAAAATAATTAGAGCCTTCTTATTTTTTTTGGTCAGAGGTACACATTTCTTGTCTTTTATAGGACATTCCTTTGCAGATGTGGGGTTTAGTGTCGATCGTCTTGATTTCTATTTTCCTCAGTGTTTTTATTCAGATGAGAGAGCAATGAAATTCATTCAGCTTGAACGATTGTATCATGAGCAACTGCTCGCAAATCTTTCTGCCATTCAGGAACAGTGGGGTAAGTACAGACTGACCTGGAACCTGGGGAATCAGCAGGAATGTAACAACTCGCTATCTAGAGAGTGAGCATATTGTCCTGATTTTGCATGTGGAAAGAATAGAAGTTACACAGTCAAGTTACTGTTGCAAAGCACAGGCCGGGGATGTAGCTCAGTGTGGGAGCTTGCCCAGCGAGCCAGGCGGTGAGTTCCCCCAGCATCATGAGAGGGAGGGAAGGCAGAGGGTGTTTTCTTTGTGTCTTGCTCCTCATAGCTGTTTTCATTTCTTCTGCATGTGCTCCTGGCTAATTTTGTTTGTAGAATGATCTTTGCATGTACTGTGAAGTAATCATTTAGCTCTTTCTAACTGTGTTAACTTTTGGATTGCTTGAGAAGGTAGCTGCATATTAATTATTACCGAGGAGCCTAAATACATTTTGTAAGAGCCCGTGATTAACAAATACTTTAAATTTAGAAACAAAATGGAAAGCTGTCCAGCCACATACAGTGACACCTCTGAGGAATTCGGAAAAGGGATTTAATGGTGAAGATTTTGAACAGCTTGCTAAAATTTGCACAACTCATAAAGAGTAAGTATGTTATAATTTATTTAAAGTAAGTTGGAGGATATTGAAGATATATATTATATTGCGTATTGAAATGTATAATCCATTTGTTTGTTTCTTGCTGTTTTCAACTTAAGAAACTGAACTGAGTCTAATGAAATTTTAAGGTTTCTCAGCTTTTTTTCTCTTTCATACTGACCTCACTAGGTTTTCATAGGCTCAGAGGATCCTTCTAACTGACATGTTGATAATTTTGATACTTTTTGATTAAGAGATCAGCAAGTGCCGGGCGGTGGTGGCGCACGCCTTTAATCCCAGCACTCGGGAGGCAGAGCCAGGCAGATCTCTGTGAGTTCGAGGCCAGCCTGGTCTACAGCGCGAGATCCAGGAAAGGCGCAAAAGCTACACAGAGAAACCCTGTCTCGAAAAACCAAAAAAAAAAAAAAAAAAGAGATCAGCAAGCCAAATGATCTAAGTTACACAATAGGACTTTTTATTCTGTTTGTTTTTTAACCATTATTTATTACTTTAATTTTATTAAATATATATATTTCTGTGTATTGATTATTGATATTTTGGCTGTTTTCCAGTGTTTGTGTGTGATAAGAAAAGTTGTAACCTTCTTTATAACAGTCTAAAAAGCACAGTATGTAGTATTTAACCTAAATGAAGGAAAACTTCATTTACTGGGTACATTCCAAATGCTTGATTCATGACAAGGAGATAGATTTTTAAAACTAAATCATCCTAATAACAAAGCTTGTTGTTTTTTGTTCTGCTTATCTTTGTTCTGAATTCTTCAATGGACCACTCAGAGCTCTGAAGCGTGATAGTGTCTAAGTAGTGCCCACTTCCGGGCTTAGGTCCTGAGTCCTCTGCACAAAGGATAAAGGACTCTATTTTGCTGGTAACTTTGTCTTCTCTTCAGAATAATGGGCAGTAAACTAAATCTCTGTGTGTTGATAATGAAACAGTCCCAAGTAATTGCTGCCTAGCCATGCAGAAGAGAGGGCATTTGCTTAGGAATCTGGCTATCCTGGAGACCAACCTCGGAAGAGTGATAGAGGTTTGGACAGAAACGTCTGTTCAGCTCTCCGAAGATGGCTTCCCTGTGCTAGGCAGTTTGAACCTTTGATGCAGTCTTTTCAGGGATTCTGAATTGTAACTCATGTTCTTAGGAAGTTCCCATGTTAGCTTTCTATTTTCATCTTTATAACATATTTAAAAGAGTAGGCTTTAAAGGAAATATAATTTATTTACTTTCAATATACTCAATGCAGATACCTCCCACTGCCCTCCTGAAGGAACTCAGCTTGTTAGTGTGTCCCAAATGTTGGAAGTATTTACTTGAACATGCTATGCGCATGGTATCTTTAGATCATTGTACCCCAAATTCTGTCTCATTAGTTATAGTTCAGTGCATGAGCCTGGTAAATGTTTCCCTCTCATAGTCTGTGACTACCACTCCTAACAGGATCCAAGACACAGACATTCTAATTTCTCAGAAGTCCATGTTTCCCTCTCCCCTGTCCTGTGATCATAACTGAGTTCTTTAACTGTGGGTGTACATGGCCTGTAAGTTCATACAAATGGATCATGCAGAATACAGTTATTGTTTCTGGGTTACATTTTATCACATGCAGTGACAGTTTGATGTTTTGCTGTTGTACCAATCTACTGTATGACCGTGTGGCAGTTTACATACCCATTTCATTTATTTGTAGACATTTGAGCTGTTTCTTGATTCTAAGTATTAGGATAATAATAAAGCGAGAATTTATTTCATCCATGCCTTTACTGGCATACTGTTTTAAGAATGGTATTCTTTAAAACCTAACAGTTGAAAGTTACTTGTCTGTCCAATGGGTAATTCCAACATAATTATCTTCTGCCATAATCTGTTTCAAACTGACATTGTAAAATATTTATGGGTGCCCGCAGCACGTGTAACTTGTTTGGGGGTTTTCAGTAGTAACTAGCTGTTGGAGGAAACACGTGCTGTAGCTGTCTGAACCACGTGAGCTGGCGGCAGGGTTTCAGCCCTGGGAACGTTCTGCGCTAATATTAGAATGCAGAGGGGCTCCATTTTTTATTGTCATTTCAGTGACATTTGTTTGGAAGCATGCTGTACTTTTAAAACTATGTTTTTCTTCTTTTCTACAGCCCTCTCTTGTCCAAGCATAAGGTAAGAGGTGTTCTGTAAGCATTTGCGGGGAGTATGTCAGCATCTTACGCCTGGGGCTGGACTGTTCTAGAAAACCTTGTCTCAGGACACTTGTTACTTTTTAATGTAATGTAACAGTTTCTCAAAAAAGTTGTGACTATTTTTTTTTCCTTTTAAAAAACGTTTTAGATAGCACCTGTGGAAAAGTCACTGGGAAGAAAATGCTTAACCCGGGTGACAGAGTCTGAAGAGCCAAAGGGAAGAGGAGCGGCAGCCAAAGAGCCAGGTCCATACGATTATACTGGAGAGCAATAGACAAGAGTCCTGTTACCTGTGGCATTTTAAAGTATTAGTGAGGTGTTAAGCTAATTAATATTTATCAATAAAAAAATCAGGATTCAGGTATGGGGGTGTGAGGGGAAAGAACCTGAAAGATCAGAAAAGCAGGGAGCAGCCACCAGTGGCCTCCTACCTCTTCCGTTCCTCCTTCCAAAAGGGCCGAGATATTCTCTCAGCCCCGCCTTACTACTTCCTGTGTCCTCTCTGTCTACCTCCAAACCTCTATGGTTAATTTTGGTCAGCTTGTGGCTAGCTCCGTCTTCTGACTTGAAACAATCTTTGTCAGAACACAATCAAAATATCACACAACATATTAGATCTGAATTGTGTTGGAATTTTTTTTGCATTTAGATTTTTGTGCAAATACTTATAAAAAATATAAAACTCACATTTTTATATGTATTTCCATTTTTAGATAACTAGAAGTAATAGAATATAAATTGTTTTAAAAAACAAAATAATTTCTGTGTTGTCAGTAAGGAAAACAGAATATAAAAAGATTATACATAAATGATCTGAAATGACTTTGGTATGTTTAGACATCCTTTCTTGCTTAAAAAGGGGGAAAAAAAACTAACCATTACTAAATGGACTAACCAGGTACTGGCCTTTTCTATAAATCTAGATAATGAGAAGTTCTATCTGGATAATTTATAGCACTAACATACACTCTGTGTGTGTGGTATGTGTGTGTGTTTCTTAACCATTTAAGATGTTTTATACCACTTTGTACCTCAGTCAAAAAGACTTGGGAAACTTCTTTTCTAAATGCATTTACAAAATTTTAGAAATAAATACATTTTTCCAGGTATTTTTTTTATCCTGATGACTGATTTTATTATCAATTTATATTGTGAGCCTTCTGATCCTGGCCTGAGAGCCCGGATTTAAAAAGAGGTGATAGGAGTTTTGAGTGAGCGTCCCTGAGAATATGGATGTTGCTGCGGCCATCCACTGGCCCTTTCCTCTGTAGATACTTTAAAATCATTTTGAGATCTCCCTCTCCTTTTCTGTCATGACACAAATTGGGGATATTGCTTTGTGTCAGTCCCGCATACTCTCTTCTTGGTGTCTCTTTTCTAGTCATTTTAATACCAGAAACCGGGTAAAATAAGCTCGTTACAACTTAGTGGACGTGGTGGTGTACACCTATAACCCCAGAACTGAGAGGTGCAAGCAGGAAGGGCAGGAGTTCAGAGGCACCCTTCTTGGTTGCCTGGTGAGTCCCAGCCTGGGCTGGGCTGTGTAAGAGCCTGTACACACTGCCACCCAGCCTGGTTTGCTGGTGCCCCTGGCTTGGCCTCTGCTGTGATCTGTGTGGTATAGATGGGGAGGCTGAGGCACCACATTTATAGCCGTTTGTCTGGTGCCCTGATTCTTAGGTAGAACCTGGATCTTCTGGCTTCTAACTGAATACCTCATGCTTTGGTTGAGTAAACTGTAGGGATTATCACTGACTTCAACAAGCCAAACCCTGCTAATATCTATCCTATGAAGGAATGTGGACTGAATCCTGGACAAGGAAGGAAATCTCACCCCAGCTTGATAAAATAGTGTGTTTTACAGAGTACTGTCCATGCTGTGGACGACTTTCCAGTCGACTTTGCAGCTTGGAATTCTTGACTCTTTGTATCTTACATTGTATTTTGCCATTGTTGCTTATCAACCTGTGGTGACCCTCCAACCTTGTGGTTTACCAGGACCTAGGGAATGTGCTCCCCAGTCTTATTTAGCCTCTGAATCCTACAGACGTTTTGTTTTGGTGCTATCTCTGAACCTTTGGGTACTGAGAATTTGTGACTGAGCTTGACCCTTTCCCCCCTGGCTGTGTCCTTCCTTGTTCTGACCTTCGCCTTCCACCTGCCTGTCTGATAGCGGGTGCCAGTAAGCTCAGGGGCCGTCTGATAGCAGGTGCCAGTGAGCTCAGGGGCCGTCTGATGGGGGTGCCAGTAAGCTCAGGAGCCGTCTGATGGGGGGTGCCAGTAAGCTCAGGAGCCGTCTGATGGGGGGTGCCAGTGAGCTTAGGGGCCATCTGATGGGGGTGCCAGTAAGCTCGGGCACAGCACAGAACCCACGGAACCAGCTGCCCACCTGTTTTCTTGCAGTCAAACCTTGAGAGTAGAGATGCAGGACTCTGCAGAGATGGCCAGTTCTTCTCAGTCCTCGATGATATTTGAAGCTGGGGGTGGGGAGAACCCCAAACTCCTAGTGCCACCTCTGCATTTAGAGCTGAGGCCACCAGCTCCTGGCTTCTCTAGCATCTGAGATGGTCCTTAAAAAAATGCCTGGCCTGTGATAGGGATTCAGCTTGGCCTGTCAGTTGGTAATTGAAGTTCCAATAAATTAAAATTAAATAATAAAATTATTAATTTATCTTGTACTTCTGACCCTTATTTGTGGGGATTATATGCCTTCATGAAACATTTAACAAGGCAAGAAGGTTTCTCTGTTAACCAATGGGCAATATCCACTTGTTATTTACATAAAGGACTTTAATTGTCTTAAGTTTTTTCTTGTTTTTGGTTTTTGGTTTTTTTTTTCTGAGACAGGGTTTCTCTGTGTAGCTTTGGTGCCTGTCCTGGATCTCATTCTGTAGACCAGGCTGGCCTCGGACTCACAGAGATCCACCTGGCTCTGCCTCCTGGGTGCTGGGCTTAAAGGCATGTCTTAAGGTTTTTTAAAAAGTGTTTTAAGTTGATTTTATTCTGGTAAAGAGATAGAAAGGCCGAAATTCAAATTTGTTTCTCCTTGTCAAAATGTATCCTTTTTCTGTCCCCTTTGTTACCATGACTAAGACGTTATCTTTGAAAGCACATTTTTAAGGGCACTATGTTCAAATTACAAATTTGATCTGAACAAACTCTTGTTCATTCCGATTAGATTTAATTCTACTTACGTTTTATGTTGTTACTAAGGTTACCTAAAAATATTTACTCAGGATGCTATGCCTTAAGTGGAAGGAAAAACTTTTCTAACTTCACTAGACAGACCAGTAAGTGTATTCATTTAAATATAAAAATACCAAAAAATATAAGACTGAATCATTCATTTATTTTAACATGTTTTTGAAGAATCATTCGTACTATTTATTAAATACTCAGCATGCGTGTTCTACCTAAGGACATTGCAGTACAACAGATAGCCTTTCTGTCTGGGAGGGTTAGAGCGATCTGTGTTACACATGTACTCATCTGTCCCTTCTCCACCTGTGTATGCAAAGCATTGTTTGGAATTCACAAGCAGCTCACTTTTCTTCATCTTCAGAGATTGAAATCTGCCCTAGCATGGAACCGAGTGGAGGCCAGCATGAAGAGCAGCCCCAAGAGAGCAGCCCCGTCTCTCATCAAATGGACTGGCAGGCAGCTTCGCCCGGCCTTCCGGTGACTGCAGGGAAGGACCACACGGAGGAGGAGGAGGAGGAGGAGGAGGAGGAGGAGGAGGAGCTGCTCTGCGGCTCCGGTGCCGCACTGGAGCTCCACACCCAGTCCCCAGAGACAGCCAGGAGCAGGTCAGGGCCAGATGCTGCTGAGAGTGCCCGTGAGGATGACAGCTGCGTGCAGGCACCTCCCTCAGAGGACCGCCCCGATGTGGCCGAAGACCCTAAGGTGCCTCCTCCTAGTGAGTCAGTGACGGAGCTGCAGCTCTTCCTAGGCCATGGCAGTATACCTCCTTTGTTGATTTCAGAGGGTAAATATTCCCAGACACACCGAAGAGAACTCTGCCTGCCAGTTCAGGGTGTATTTGAAGCGCTGCCCAGGGATCAGCTTCAGAGCGGTGAATTAGATGAATCACAGCAGCCTGATGGGAAATCACCACAGAGTCAGACTGACTTGGAGCCTGGCTCTGAGAATGCACTCTGTGGTGACGGTAAAGCGTCTGACGTAAGTACACTGTGTCCAGAAGTGTGTATGGCCCCAGAAGAAGGGCGGGATAAGGAAGACCAAGTCAGTAAGGAAACCGAAGACTATCTGAACAGCCTGTTGGAAGGATGCTTAAAAGATGCTGAAGAGTCCCTCTCCTATGAAGATATCCAGGACGACGACTCTGACCTCCTCCAAGACCTTTCTCCTGAAGAGGCATCCTACAGTCTCCAGGAGAACCTGCCTCCTGATGAGAGCTCACTCTCCCTTGATGATCTGGCCAAGAAGATAGAGATCGCAGAGGTAAGGTAGGGAGGGAGTAAAGAGTAAGATGAATTCTCACATGTGCAAAGTGCTGCTTTGTTTTTATGAATTTTCTCTGGTTCTGAGCTTGCGGGGAATGTTTCCATTAACATGAACGTTTATTGTCAAGTTACTCATACATGTGGAATGGGATGGCTTCAGTCATTGCTGTGTTTGCGATTCAGGAAGCTGCTCTGCCTGCCTCTAGACCCAGGCGCGGTTATGAATGCCATTTTCTCTATTCTACCTTGTGAGTTCAGTTTAGCATTCTCGGGGGCTCAGGTGAAGACAAGACTGGTCGAACTTGAGTCAGGGACTCTTTCTCCTCATACCCACGGAAAAGGAAACCTGGTGTGTGCTCATTATCCCTTTAGTGTATCAGCATACATTTTAAATGATTAGAAACAGACTTAACAGAGTAAAGTTTCAAAATAATGACCCCGGGAGGTACTTGATGAACTTTTGAGCTATTAAATAGAAAAATTAAAGCAAGGAAAGATGACTGTTGTCCTTTGTTTAATAAGAGAATTTTAAAAGTCCTGGGAAGAAAAGATAAATACAAAAGTAAGTCTAGAAAAACAAAGATAAAAGCCATAGCAGGTGTCCTGCTCTCCCGGGAAGGGAGCCGGTGGGAAGAGCGGAGTCACGGTGGGCGGATCGGGGCGGGGCCTCAGGCTCACCGTCCCCTGGGTCTACTCAGTCTCTCTGAGCCTGCTGGGGAAGTGGGGATGCTTTTTCTGTTCTTTTTCTCCTTTGAAGTTGGCCCTTGTCCTCATTCACACCTGTAAACCCTGCCTTGGGCAGGCTGTGACCAGAGGGACACTGTGAGTTTGAGGCCAGCCTTGGCTACAAAGTGAGACATTGTCTCCACTCCCTAAAATTCTCATGTGTGCCCACTGTATTCTAACAGCATTATCTTTGAAAAAGGTGAATTCAAGAAGAAAGTAGAAAAATAAAGCAAAAATAGATAGCAAATTATATGTTAATTTAACTAAAGAATGGAACTCCATGACAAGCTTCCTGAGACCATTGTTCTACTATTTAGTTAATTTCCTATAAACTATGGTTTTGATTTTTTGACAAAATTAGATTTTTTTAAAGTAAAGCCTTAAGCTCAGTAGTTATTCTGATGTTTACTTTCACTAGGCTATTTGATTGTCAGATAGTTCCCACAAAACTATGATTTTTGTGTCTTAATTTTCTCTTACCAGAATCATTCAGTTGTTGCTCAGTGAATACTAAGTGTCTGTCCAGGTGATGGTGTAGTTAGGTAGCAGGTGGTAGTGATCGGTTACAACATTTGACTATAATACACTGAACTGTGCGTATAAAAAGAGATAAAATGGTACTTTTGTTATATATCTTAGCAGTTTTCAAAAATATTTCTCGAGAAACAACAGACGAGAGATTGGTCTGTCCTGAGGAGAGCTCTGTACAGGGGTCACCAGAGCAGTGATGTCACAGCCAACCAGGGGTGTTCCTTCCTGGTAGCACAGCACAGTGTCTCTTCCCCATGCGTCCGTGGCTAGGAAACTGTAGAGTTGAAAGTTGTCTCTTTGAGAAGTTAGTACACAAGAGTCTCCTTTTTAAAATGTATTGGTCTGTTAAGTTTTGCTGTGTAAGAAGAAGCTTCATTCAGTTAACAAACGCAACATACTCTATGGTGGTGCTAAATACATTGTTTAGTGTACTTTCTGAATACTTACTCCAGTATCTATTCCAACTGTGTGTTTTAATAAAATCTGCCTGTCTGCAAGAGTCTTAAACTAACAGAAATCACTAATACTTTAGTGTTTTCTTAATACCATAAAAGTGCAGCTCTAGGTTAGGTAAAACATACAGGTTAAACATACGTTTCCTTATAAGTGTAATTATTTACACACACACACACACACACACACACACACACACACACACACACATACATATGCGTTATTGTTCCTCTCTCTGTTTTGAGACGGGATCTCAACATTTGAGGTAGCCTTGAACTCTTGATCCTCCTGCCCCTCTCTCTCAAGTGCTGGGATTACTGTAAGTAAAAAATTGCAGCACATTTTTGGTTTATTTATTTGTTTGTGTTGGGGGTAGATCACAGAGTCTTATATGTGCTAGGCAACACTCTATTGCTGAGCACGCCAGCCCCTAATTCTGTTTTTTTTTTTTTTTTCTTGGTTTTTCGAGACAGGGTTTCTCTGTGTAGCTTTGCGCCTTTCCTGGAACTCACTCTGTAGCCCAGGCTAGCCTCGAACTCACAAAGATCCACCTGGCTCTGCCTCGCAAGTGCTGGGATTAAAGGCATGCACCACCACTGCCGGGCAAATTCTTAATAATTAAATTCTAAAACCTTAGTTTTCACTGAAGTGCATATGTAACTTTAAACCAGTTTTTGCTTTGTGCTTGCAGCAAACCTCTACAGAATCATGTGCCTGGCACTGTTGGGCACTGTGGCGTCTGCTGAGAGTCTTAAGTTGGTAGGGGCTCCCCGCTGTCACTGCTAACAACCTGATTGTATCAGGCCTCCCTGCTCTTGCCGTCACAGGTCCAGAGCAGCTGAACGGGTTGGTAGTTTTCCAGCTCTGGGAGCAGCTCACCTGCCTGTCCACATGCTGCTGCCCATCACTGTTGGGCCGGGCCTCTTCTCCTCCTGGAATCTGCCTGCTACCTCTGCCCTGCCCGGGACTCTGCCCTCTAAGGGTCCCCTTCTGCTTGAAGCTCTTAGCCACCTGGTAGGGTGCCAGTAGCCTCTCTTTGCCAGGTGTTTTCTCTTGTCTCTCTGCACTGCTCAGTTTGGGCCCCAGGAGAACTTGTTTTTGTAACTATCAACAGCCACTTGTTATGTTGTTTAAGACTAAGATTCATCCTATAAAATGAAATAATGTTCGCCTCAGAGAGAAGGAAAAATGTCTCCAGCACTTTGGTTCATGAGTGTGGATGCATGTGTAAATGAGGCTTTCTAGACTTGGTAAGCTTTTTTCAAACCCAGGAATAATTTTGCCAAATAATAGCTTAGTAGCTGGAGCCTTGCTGTTTTTTTCTTACTGAAAATTACCCGACCCATTGTCACCCAGTACTGTCTCCACAGCTGTAAGAAAAAACATTCGGCACACTTATCTCCATTCCATAGATTTGGGGGTGTTTTGTTTTCATTTTTATTACTTTCATTTATTTGTTGTGTGTGGGTTTGGGTATGCATGTGCCATGGGTCTCAACTTGTGGGAGTCTGTTCTCTCCTTCTGTCACATGGAACCTGGGGGTTGAGCTTAGATTGTAAGGTTTGAGAGCAAGCACTTCTACCTACTGACCTAACTCCGGCCCAGATTTTTGGGTTTTTGATACAGAGTCTCACTGTGTAACTTAAGCTGCTGTTCTTTAACTTGGAATCCTCCTGCCTCAGTCTCCCAGTACTGACGTTTTAAGTGTGTGACATCATGCCTGGTTTATTTTATAGATTTTGTAAGAAACAAAAGCTAGTATTCGTACAGTGTCAGACAACAAGTTAGGGCCGCTCATTTATTCCCACCTTTAATAAGTTTCGTGACTGACTTCCACTGAGTTACAGTGATACAGATGTAACGATTAAAAATACAGCTGAAGCTGGGTGTGGTGGTGCACGCCTTTAATCCCAACACCCAGAAACAGGCCAGCCAGGGCTACATAGTGAGACCCTGCCTCAAAACTAAAATAAAATAAATGTTTTAAGTAACTGTTGGGGCTGGGGAGATGTCTTAGTGGATAAGACCTTTAGCCATAGTGCTGAGCGGGTGGGTGGGTGGGTGGGCATGGGATGCAGGGAGGCAGGAGGGTTACTAGAACCTGCTGGCCAACCAGCTTAGCTAAAAATTGGCAAGTGCCAAGTTCAGTGAGAGATCCTGTCTCAAGATGCCCCGATCTGGCCTCTGCATGTGTGCCCGAGTGCACACAGACACATACACACACAAGTTTAAAATTAAAATTTTAAGAAAGGTTAGCTGCTGTGGGGTTCCTTTACCAAATAAAGACGGGAGGTCCATGCTAAGCAGCCATGTTGAGGGGAGTCATGGAGATGGCTGTTCTGTAGGTCTTAGGAAAAGAAGAGCCCTAGAAACAGCAGCCATGGCAGTTTTGCTCAGGGTGGATCTCTCGAGGGAAGCAGAGATGTAGCTTGCTCACATTTTGGCTTCCAGGAACACCAGGGGTGGGAATGGTTGACCCCTGATGTATGTAGCTCTCTAACTAGTCCCTGAGGAAAACCCTGGGATCGCCCATTTTTAAATTGTACCAGATGGTGTCATTTTTGCCTCTTGTTTTTAGACTGCTTTTTACATTTCTAGTTAGTTAATGTATCTTGATTGACATGTTTCTTTACCAAGTTCCTTTCCTGTTCTAATTACATTTCGAATTTGCATATTTACTGCTCTTCCTGGACATCTGCATTAGCTGCTTCGTAAGTGTCTCCTCCTTGATTTAGCCCTTCTCACTCCCTGTGATCTCACATTAGCACTGTGTAGACCTGGAGTCTCAAACTGACACCCAGAAGGGCCGATCGGGTCATAAAAAGAAATGAAATGACGTGACTGTAGGGCGATAGAGATGTCCCCATATCTGTCTAGGAGTTTTCATCTTTTTAAAACTCTCTACTCGTGGCTAGAGAGATGGCTCAGTAATTAAGAGCCCTTGTTCTTCCAGGAACCCAGGTTCGTTTCTAGCACCCACATGGCGGCTTGAAAACATCTATAACTCTAGTTCCCGGAGATTCAGCCCCCTCCTCTGAAGTCAGATTCCAGGTACACACGTGGCGCATATACATACATGCAGGCAAAACATTTATAAAAATAAACCTAAACACATAAAATATCCAGTAGGCCTGAGCATATATAGTGGCACAGACCTTTAATCCCAACTTGGAGGCAGATCTCTGTGAGTTCAAGGACATTGAAACTACATGGGAGACCCTGCCTCAAAGGAAAAAGAAAGAGAGAGAGAGGGAGGAAGGGAGGGAGGGAGGGGGGAGGGAAAGAAGG